AAAAAAAAAAAAAAAAAAAAAAAAAAAAAAAAAAAAAAAAAAAAAAAAAAAAAAAAACAGTTGATGCATTAGTGTCCAAGTCGGACTGATAAATAATTATATTAAAATTTAAACAATGATTGATCAGATTAATCACTTATACAAAAAAAATCGTATGAAACCTTTAAAATCATTACCATTAAAAAGAAAAGAAAAAAGATTTTAACAAAAAGATCAAGCGACTGTTCACGAAAATTCATGCATTCGAGCATTTTGCAATAATGAGGCTCTAAAATCACTCCACGTGATTACGCTCGTTTGGCAAAGTGACTCATTCAATCGTTTAGCTTGAAACACTCGTTCGGCATGAATACCAAGCGCAATTAAAATGCTTCTTCTGCAAAGTCGTTAATATCGAGTCGTAAAAGTGTTTAATCGGCTTTAGCACACATTTCGTGCTTGTGAAAAACAAAACTGTAAGATTTTTTTTCAATGCCAGCAAAAACTAAACGAAAACTCGCTTGTTCCACCGAGTTTTTTTCCCCTACGCTGATTCTATAATTGACGTACACGCAATTTAATTTTCCAACGTTCCATGATTTTCACGCTTTTTCAAAATTTGATTTCTCAGCAGTATGGAATACTCAAAGTCCCTTTTATTTTTCCCAACAGGTTCAAATCGAAGCTGGTACGATGTCTCGCCAGCTTTTCCTACGTCATCCGGAGCCTCTTGAACGTTTCTGTCACGGTATTCACTCCCTGCGTCGCCTTGAAAACCGTCATAGGTCTACCCTACTGGGCCAGCATCTGTGGCATCACGGCCATATCGATCGTCTTCACCCTGATGGTAATTCACACACTCTGATCAATAATGCTTTTAAACTATGGTGTCATTTTCTCTGGAAAAAATTAAAAAAAAAAACTGCATTTTTTATCCAGGGAGGACTGAAAGCAGCGATACTGTCCGACGTCATCCAAGGCCTAACGATGATCGGCGTCTCGATCATAATTATCCTTCACGGAACCGTAGATGCCGGTGGTTTTAGTACCGTTGTTAACGTCACCAGCGAACGCGGCCGACTCGATTTCTTCAAGTGCGTACATATATACGTATACCCCCTCACTCGTACCACAATTATGTGCTCGTTCGTTAAATCGACGGATGAATCAACGGGATGGATTTTGTTATTTTTGCAGCTTCGACTTGGACCCGACCATCCGAGTGACCACCATATCCGCCATCGTGGGCCAACTGTTTATGAGCCTCTCCATATTTGGTTGCCAGCAGAACTTTGTCCAACGATACTGCAGCATGAGCAGCCAAAGGAAAGTCGTCAAGTACGTATATATACGCATTTAGGATCGACCAATGGAAAAAAAAAAAAAAAAAAAAAAAAAAACAGGCAACGAGTAACGCGTTTTTCTGTGCTCCTCGTTGCAGAACCATGATGGCCAACATCCCCGTGATAACGGTGCTGTTCTCCCTGTCGTGGGTTGTTGGCATGGTGATATTCGCCAACTACGCCGACTGCGACCCCATGAGCCTGGGCTACACGTCAAAGTTCGACGAGATCGTGCCCTTCTACGTCGAGGACAAGTTCGTCTACCTCCCCGGGCTCCTCGGCTTAGTCATGGCAACCCTCTTCAACAGCTCCCTCACCATAACCGTGTCCATCCTCAACTCCCTGGCCACCGTCACCTTCGAGGACTTTCTCAGCCAAATCCCCGCCCTGAGCAACCTCAAGGACATCCAGCAGCTGAAGATCATCAAGGCCCTGGCGGTCTTTTACGGCTTCCTCGTCATCGGCGTCAGTTTCCTCGTTGGTATGCTCTCGGGTGTCATCGAGTCGTCCATGCTGATGACCTCGGCGACCTCCGGCCCGCTGCTCGGGGTCTTCGTGCTGGCCATGCTGGTGCCCTGCGCCAATTGGAAAGGAGCCGCAGCCGGTATGATCTTCAGCCACGTGACGACTCTGTGGCTGACGTTTGGCCGGCTGAGTCTCGACATACCCACGGAAGCGTTGCCGCTGCGCACGGATGGTTGCCGGAACGACACCTTCTCGTCGCACCTGATGAAGTCGAAGGACGGCTTGGCGGCGGCCCAATGGTCGAGCGCCACCAAGGACCACCTGTTCGACGACGAGACCCCCGAGACGGTTCTCGACAACATATACAGCATCACGTACATGTACTACGCCCTCATAGGCAGCCTGTCGACGATCATCGTGGGCATCGTCGTTAGCTTGCTCACCGCCGATGCGAAGGCGGACGCCTACGAGGAGCACCTGTTGCACCCGTGGGTCCTCAAACTGTCCAAGATGACGCCGGGGAGGCCGAGATTGTTCACGCCGAGTTCGTGCTTCAACGAGAACAACAACATCAATGGCAGCGTTCCCAACGGGCTGGAGGAGTCCGCGAAGAAGATGCAGGAGCACAGAGTCCAGGCGGACAATGGCTACATCGGCCGGCTCGACGCTTTGAAGAAGGTCACGCTGGAAGTGACGAACGAGGTGCAAAAGGGCACCAAAATCTGATGGTGCTGTGGACTACTTGTCCATCGTTTTATCTACCGCTGCTACTTATCGAGACTGACACTTGAGCAAAGTGATAATGGTAAACGCTGGTGCTTTGGTACGTTGTTTTGACGATCGACGAGTTAATGGTCGCTGGGGACTCTGTGCGTGAAACGACGACACGCGCGAGAGTATATTTTTGTTTAATATATACTTGGTGCACAGTATTCGATGATATGCGAAATGACGATGAGGTTTTTTTTTGTGTGTGTGGATTATGATGATTTTTGCAATGGTGACTTGAAACGAAAACATGAAAAAAAAAAAAAAAGAAAAAAAAAAGAAAAAAGTAAAACAACAAAAAATACCATGCGTTAATGTAAGAAAGTTTGTTGATACTCAATTTTGTGAAGTGACTCCGGAACGCATATACATATAGGTTTAAGTAAGATTTTTATACAGTAGCAATGTAGGCGTAGACTATTTGCTTTTCGTTTGCTTGTTAATTAGTGCTAGATCGATCTTATAGGTTTGAGACTGCTTTCGCGGTGAGATCCCTTTGTACGCACTACAGCACTTCTGTCCATGCGATTTGATGTTTGAGATTGTGGTGGTTGAGGTGCAATACATGGAAGGGAGTTGAAGATGATTTTTCGGGTGGTAAGGCATTTCTCAACCCCCGGGGAACATTCGGTGTCAGCCAAAGTCAACTAAATTTTTAGGTAAAGGCCCTAACGCCTTTTTTATTGATATACGGGAGTAGTACCACGTATGCGAGATCTGATTTAAAGTGCTTCGTTTTCGTGCTCGCGATATACTGTTTTTTGATGATGATGAAAATTTAAACTTGAAATCGAAAACACCTCTTAAGATTTTTTATTTTCTTATTAATAATGTACTTAATATTTAGTTGATGAGTGAATTCTCATTTGTCTCTTAACATTCAAATCGCCTAAAGCATCAACGAGTGAGTAAAAATGGGGGAAGAAAAAAAAATACGTGGCAATGATAATATATAGATACGATATATGATAATAATCAACATATAATCACGTTTGCATGGCGTGTATTCAAGGCTCGAAAAAATAGACATTACTTTACACGAAAAAATTACACCGTCCCGTTTCTTTTTTACTCTGCAATTCGTGTGCGTCTGTTCCGGGCGTATCTGCTGATACAGTATACTTTGTTTTATCTTTGCGACCTGATTTTCATGTTGTCGCTATATTTAACTGTTGCAGCATGTGCTCCGTTAATTTATGTATCTCCTTTGCTTTCGTCATTAAGGACATCCTCACGATTGTACATTTTACACTTTTCTATCAGAGTAAATACAGTGCCAAGCAGCTTGCAATTTTTGTTAAAGTTTTTGTGTATTTTATTACTGATGAATAATTTTTTAACGATGCCATGATTGTTTATTTTTAGCAAGTGACGAAAAAAAAATTCTTCCGTAAATAATAGGTACAAATTTTAGATACAGTTTCAACTTCCACGTGAATATATTAAAAACAAATAATTCTTCAAAAGTTGCAGATTCATTGAGATTCAAAGCAGCATAAATTTTTCACCACAAAAATGCCAGTTATCGAAGGCAGTATTGATATCGAGTGAATCATTATATATGCAGTCAAGTACATTTAGCTCGAAAGCACTTGTATTGGCTACTTTGTCATGTTGTATAAATACAGGTAGATGACAATATATGAATCATCACTATTTGGTATTTTTTTTAGAGTCAGGAAATACCTAAGTGAAAAGAAAGATATCGACAACACTCACATATATATATATAANGGGTTGCGGTACATGTTTTGGGATAGTATGGTATATATATATATATATATATTTATTAACGAGAAGTGCCTGTGAATCCGTAACTTTTATCCAAGAATGCTTTGTACTCTAACGACATAAACATAAATGTTAATAAAAGAAAAAGGTGACGTATGCTCGTGTCGTGTACATATTGTATTTGTAAACGATATTTTTATAGGACGAGAATGTAGTTATTGCATAAAAGAATCATGATATCGAAACAGCGAAAACTTGTAAGGTGCGTCGATGTTTTACGTTAATGTTGTTGATGTGTAATTATTAATTAGTTTGTAGTGTTTAATGGCAATCGGCCGAGCGCCTCGGACGGTCGCTAGTGTTGAAATACGCGCTTTTTCTGACGAACGAAACAACGTCAAACCTCGATCTGTTAGATCAAACAACACACGGTTGGTGTCTTCTTGGAAGAAAATTATCATAATAAAAGGCATGTACGATGTACATGGTTGTAACAAAATATACATTTTTTTTATCGATACATTGTTATTTGTGTCTGTTTATTTTCTCAATCTGTCACTGTCTTTCCCAAAACAATTTTAACTGAGAATATTTTTATTGAGCACAAAGTTAAATGTAATAAAATTTGATCACATAGTGCTTTTTGTTATTATAATGGTAAGGAGTAAAATACCAACGAGCAATTATTACTATACTATACTGGGCTAAAAAAATATCTCAGATCCTCAAAAATGTTTTAAATCACAAGTTTTATTGCACCTGATTTATTGTGTCTTTCTTTCTTGAAGGAGTGAGACAAACAAATTTTTTTACATACGACTTATTCCATGTGGGATTATTCTAATCGCAAGAATTCACCGGAACAAAATCAGTACAGAGAAAGAGCTTCAGTTAAAAAAAGAGAAAAAACAAGCCTTGCTGCTAAAATCAGTGTCTGTATTTTTTTTTCTTTGCTCTGCCCCTGAAAACAAAAAAAATCGTGCTTGTGCAAACAAGATTCGGGGCCCGGGGCTTACATTCGCCGTATTATAATCCAAGTAATCACGTGCAGCGCTAAGTTCATTTTGCTTTATTTTCCGCTGCTGTTGCTCAATCTCGACGTCGCTGTTTTTGCGATGAGCTTGAATATTCGCATGCAGATGCTGAGGGGTTGTACCTATAAATAAAATATTAAACGTGAGGGATTTCGTTTTTTTTTTCGGTGTATTGCATTTTAAAATTCGTCTCCCGTAAATATTTGAGCGATGCATAGCTGGTTTAGTTATTCATACGACTTTATTGAAAATAAACGTAAAAAGAAATACATATACGCTAAGATCTACGCAAAAGCTTCGCATTTTAAAATACTTTCGATAAAAAAGTCTTTCTTCCGTCTCGTAAGCCTGTGTTATTTTATTACAATCAAGTTAAAATTAAATAATTTGTCGAGGTAATAAGAATCGTCAGTTAATATTTTGCCACTTAAGTAGTCAAACCATGAAATAATTTGAGATTTGTTAATTTTTTAAACTAATCTTATTTTACAATTTTTATTTGCCAAATTAACTAACAAATAGCTTAGATTAATTTACACACATAAATATCAAGTGGTATACTTTACATTAAAAAATCGTATGATAAGTTATTAGTCTTACTAAGTAGCAGTTAACGTAGCGTAAAATCAACTACTTGATTCAACAAAGTATACAGCATGATATGTAACCGTGGCATTTCCCGAGAACCACGTGTAGAGCGATTTTTTCTGACGCGAACCCCGTTGGAATTAATTTTTTAGGGCAAATAGCTTTTAAATAGGAGCCGATTGAAAATACGTTCCAAACTACCCCTAAATGGGGTTGGAAGGCTATAGCGCGCCCGCATGAACTCGCGACGTTGCCACATTGTTATTGGAGCTTAGTCGGTAAGCAGTGAGAACTATATCCATGTGCGCACGCAAGAGCGTCAGCTACTGCTGGTAACTTGAAGGTTGGATGTAAAAATTTTTACCTTGAGGTAAATATTGTCTGCTCCTTAAGTTGTCAGTTGTTTATCCACGCGCTTACTGTCTTTCTCACTCTCATGTTGGACAAAAACATCTTTAAATTTTTATACTTAAGTAATGTTACCTCAAATAAAAGTAAAATACCATATCAGTAGGGATTTTTCCACTCTACACGATAGTATTTTTGCAAAAATAGTCGACCTCTTGGTCAAAAATATTGTTGTTGGGTATGTCTTGCTTACGTTCCCGGGTATGTCGTCTGTACACGATTTAGAACGAGTCCATTCATAAATTGCAATAATCAAAGTATATTACAGTTGATATTGCTCATAAAAATCATTTATTTATCATCCAAATTTACATACTTTAAAATAATACGTTTGAAAATGCTCTAAATACTATCTAATTATTTCAACAAAAATTATCGAACATCTTTTCAAAAAAATCGTAAACTTTTTAGTGTATTGAATAATAATTAAAAAATGTCACGTTAATAAAAAGTTTGCTTAATGTACATCTTTATTCAGTTAAAACTTAACCATTAATATTAACTGACACATTGAGAATAAAAAATAGTTAATAACATACAGAAGTTAAATTTAATCGAATTTAGTCCCCACCAAGTGCCCGGAAAGTACCCGAGGAAGTGCCCGCAAAGTACGCGGGAAGTGCACGCCAAGTACTCGGGAAGTACCCGCCAAGTAACCATAAAGTACCCGAGGAAGTACCCGGGAAGTATCCGCCAAGTGCCCGGGAAGTACCCAAGGAAGTACCCGCCAAGTATCCGGGAAGTACCCGCCAAGTACCCTGGAAGTGCCCGGGAAGTACCCGAGGAAGTGCCCGGCAAGTACCCGACAGTATTGTACTTGGTGGGTACTTCCCGGGTACTTGGTGGGTACTTCCTTGGCACTTGACGGGTACTTCCCAGGCACTTCCCGGGCTTTTCCTCGGGTTCTTGGCGGGCACTTGGCGGGTACTTCTCGGGTACTTCCCGGGCACTTCCTCGGGTACTTGGCGGGTACTTCCCGGGTACTTGGCGGGCACTTGCCGGGTACTTCCTGCGCACTTGGCGGGTACTTCCCGGGCACTTGGCGGGTACTTGATTATTGCAATTTATGAATGGACTCGTTCTAAATCGTGTACAGACGACATACCCGGGAACATAAGCAAGACATACCTAACAATATTTTTGACCGAGAGCTCGACTATTTTTGCAAAAATACGATCGTGTAGAGTGGAAAAATCCCTACTGATATGGTATTTTACTTTCATTCGAGGTAACATTACTTAAGTATAAAAATTTAAAGATGTTTTTGTCCAACATGAGAGTGAGAAAGACAGTAAGCGCGTGGATAAACAACTGACAACTTAAGGAGCAGACAATATTTACCTCAAGGTAAAAATTTTTACATCCAACCTTCAAGTTACCAGCAGTAGCTGACGCTCTTGCGTGCGCACATGGATATAGTTCTCACTGCTTACCGACTAAGCTCCAATAACAATGTGGCAACGTCGCGAGTTCATGCGGGCGCGCTATAGCCTTCCAACCCCATTCAGGGGTAGTTTGGAACGTATTTTTAATCGGCTCCTATTTAAAAGCTATTTGCCCTAAAAAATTAATTCCAACGGGGTTCGCGTCAGAAAAAATCGCTCTACACGTGGTTCTCGGGAAATGCCACGGTTACATATCATGCTGTATAAGCTTCATAATTATGTAAATACACACACTTTCCATTGAGAAAAATGGTCTCGTGGCCCAAAACAGGATTCTAGTATTAATTTAAACGGTCCGCCAAAAATTGCACCTTGTTCTATTTTGTTTTGTTGGCAACCTTGACTGTTAGCTCGCACTATACCTTCTAGGTACGAAGTACGAAGTAGAGATTCGAGAAGGTGTAGAGTGTCAATGCTTTTGTAGTTGTAGTATGCGTAGTTGTACTAAGTTGTAAGTCAGAGAGTGTAGTGTTGGTTATAGAGTTTACCAACTAATAGAGGTGTACATCCTTTTTTTATTTGGTAACAAATAAAGTACCAGTAAATAAAGGAATTTTTGTTAAGTGTTTTTTGGTGAGGTCCTAATTATGAATTCGCAGTATGCCTTTTAAACATTTTATCCGAGAAAGTTATTAGCTCAATGATAAATCTTAATTACTTTCGTCTACAACTTGTCCTGCACACTGACAAAAAAGCTGTGTCATTTTATTTTTTTAAACATAGGTTTTAAAAATTTTTATATTTACTTGAAAGAGATGATGAATGAAAAAAACGTACCCTTACCACATGTTCAGTATAGTTTTTGCGTACGAATGCCACGTTTATGTACATAGTTCCCAAAAATATTTGTTGTTGTATGTTTTATTTTTAATTGTTTAATTAAAAAAAAAAAAAAAAAATTTTTTGCATATTTTTTTGTAAATGTACACAAATTAGTAAAAAAAAAAAAATTTATGTCATGAACATAAGATAAATTATTAAAAAAAAAGAATCCCTTTAACCACATTTGGAACCAATAACCGGGTGATCTCTTTAATTTTATTTAAATTAAAGCATGAAATAACTACATCTTCATATAAAATATTCCTTAGAAAAATAAAATAATAATAGAATTATCGATATTGATTGATGGTATCGATGATCTCGTGTATGAATTACCTGAACATACTTTTTTATCATCAAAAAAAATTATCAATAAGTATCTCAACTATTGCAGTAGGTACTTTAGTGCCTTTCTTTTTGCTGAAATAGTGACCAAAATATATATTAGTATATAGCTTCGACAGTCATATATTTTTCGTTAGTCGATACATCAGCGGTACATCGCAACATTCAAGGTTATATGCGTAATAACTATTAGACATGCCTGAAAAAGCAATAATAATATTTTAAAGAAAACAAGGCTGTGCTTTTGTCGATAGCGTTTAAAGTGTAAATACAACCACAGCTGCAGTAGCCGGCGCAGCTCAGCGAATCGTGAAAAACCGGTATTGGACTGTCAAACTGAGTCAACCACGATGGACACCTGGTAAGTTTCACCACAGATTTAGCGGCTAATTTTATCATTATAGCTTGTACATGTGTGCCCGTGCTCTCGTCTCTTTAACTTTTCAAGAAAACGCACGACTTTTGGGTCAAGTTGTCGGCTTTAATGTTTACATCTTTATGGCGCACTAACGATGCTCGTTAGCTCACGCACGTGTTATGAGATCAAAATGATTTTCATCCACGTTACGTACTTAATTTTTTTATGATTATTTTCAAGTGTCTTACGACTGGCGTTCCAATTAAAACGAAATCCCATTAGGTAGCTCAAGCTATTCACACTTTTTAAAAGCACTGAAGTAATCATAAGTGTTTGGCACACAAGAAAGACAAATTTTCTGGTTGATTGAGCGCTGGTGAACATTTAACCTTTTCAATGCGTTTATCAGCAATTTTAATTAAAATTACCTAGTAATCTGCCCGCCTATAAGAGAAAGTTGATAAGATAAAAATAATCTTAACTGGCGAGCTAAAATTGTTTCATCTGCGAGTGTAGCCACCGTTGTTTTTTCAATCACCAGTAATTCGTAGGACTGGATTTTTTGGCAGTCGTTTTATTGTACCTGACCTTTAATGTTTAACACAATTTTTTTTTTTTTTTTTCGTGTATCAATTTAAAAAAAAAAGCCCGAAGTACAGTTTTTTCTGACAAAATATAGTTTTTCTCGAGAAGGTTAGTTTAACTTTTGAAATCAGCTTACGGCTGAACCATTTTTCCTTGAAAATAACGATTATTGGCAGAAAACGCAATTTAGTCATGTTTTGAAACACAAACTCTCCACATGCGAGAAAAAGTTTCCTTCACCTTACAAAAGCGCAAAAAAAAACTTTTCCGGGCTCGTCGATTTTTTTAACAAATTGATCATCCGCCACGATATCCCCCAACTTTGTACCCAACAAACTGAAAATTTTGCAAACTATTACCAAAGAGAATAGTGTAAAACTTTTCCGTCAGCGCCAAGTCCCCGTGGCTTTCGGTAAATACAATTTTCGCGATACAACACGGCGCGCAAAGTTTGGATTTCGTGCTCCCGCGAACCGGTAATTTCCCCTTGCCTCGGCGATACACTTGCTTGAACTCGGCCCCGGGGAGCAGAAATTAATCGTCACTCAAGCTTTGTTGCTATTAAGTCTTTCCGGCGCAAAAGACCGAAGAACGGATAATTAACTTGAAACCCGTAAATAATTGAATTATTCAAGTTGGTTATGCCCATCTGAAATTTCTTCGAGCATTAAATCCTATGTAGCTGTACCACTCTTGTGCTCATTGTGTTGTCTCGAATTTTAATTAAATCCTATCAACTAGAATACCCAAATATTATTTTCTCTTTCTTTTGTTGTTGCTTTCAATAATTTACGTTTAAAGTATCTTGTGCCGAAAACAAATTATTTGTACGTTATATACGCCCGACCATTAATAACACTCCCTTCAAAAACATTTCGTAGCCAAGTATCGCGCGGAGAGCCAAGTAAAAACCCACCCTGCGGGGATGAAGTCTCCCGATACTCGAGTTCGACTGTGTATATGTACGTGAGCCGAAATGCACTCACGTACCTAGCGGTCCATTTAACTCGGCTGCACTTTTCTTGCGGTCGATGTTATTTTCTCGAGTTAAAAATTACTTCTCCACCCAACGCACATCGCTCTTTTTTTTCCCCTTTTTTCTCTCCTTTTCACAACTTTGCCCCCTGTTTTCTAGAACATGATGAATTGAGCTTCATATACGTCTTTATTAAACATTTTCCGCTCACAACCATTTTAATGAACAAAAACAAAAATTCCAATTGCAGTTACATACCGTCGCAGCTACGAATCGAGCCAAACATCTGCAGCCCCGACTACGATGGCATCGTTTTGATCTCCGGTACACCTCCAGGGGAGCAGGAGCCCGAGCCCTTCAAGTCGGTGCTTTTCTGTAGCGCACAACTCGACTGTGCCCTGTTCGAGAGGGGAGCCGTCCTGCCGATAAACCTGCCGGCCAAGCGACTCGTCTACAGTCCCACTGGACCCATTGACCCCGACTACGATGACGTCAGGGTGTACACCCAAGCCGCTGTCAAGGGCATCAAACGGTACGCGACTCATTTTTTATTCGTATTTTTTTCTTCCTTTTGTCTCAAAAGTATTGTACAACTCAAAATTTAACCCCCGTTTGGTGGTCCTAAATTACACAAATTACCACTCTGTAACGCATCAGGATTTTAAGCGTCCCGAGTGAGAAATTAACATGCGAGCTTGACAAATAAATTCCCAAACAGTTCGAGCGAGCTCCACGCGCCTCGTCATTTCCATAACATTATTCACGAGTGCCCCCCATATATTTATGCAAATGATACAAAGTGCATCGTATGCATATGAATTACCAAAGGTTTTACGTGCACACCTGTTTTGGGGCTCCGATCGTGTGTCATGTATGACGCCGCGTGAACCGAATTAGCGTTAATGCCCCCCCGGCGCAGGTGACAAGCCAAAGTTCGAGTTTGTAATTTCCGGCGAAGCAAAGTGGTACGCGTGCGTGTAATATGTGTATACTTTTGGTGAGTAATATTCGATTTGGTTGGAAGTACAGGTGGATTTGTGCGTGTGAAAAAGTCGTGACGAAACGCGACGTTAATCCCCCAGTTTTCCCTTCAAGAATATAATGTCCCCGGAGCAAGAGAGATTCAGCCCTCCTGCGGTTGGCACAGGGTAAGATACCGAGCGCAGTTTTATCTCAGCGGCAGTAAGTTCAGAACTTGCCAGAAGCAAGTTCTTGCCCGCATATACGTGGGAGCATATGCATATGGACACGCCCGAGTGAGGGCAAAAGGTGATATGGAGTAAGATTCCAACGTGCGCTTATAGAGTAGGTGAAGTTGGATGTAGCGGGATTTTCATTTCCTCCCTCTTTCTTTCCTCTATACTCGCTCGGAATATCGCTCGTGGCGAAAGTTGGGATGTCAGCGTACGAGTGGCTGGTGCTGACTTTCGTGAAAAAGCTAATTGGAGTGGTGAATACGTCGAGGAATCGGTAGAGCCGAAGGGGGGAATTCTACAAGAATCAGAAGCATATTTCGGGAAACTTTCCTTTAATGCCATCGTCATCCCCATTTACGAAAACTTTGTCCCAGCAACTCGTAAATAAAAGCATTCTTGTATATGCATCCTCGGGTGAAACAAAACTTTCGCACAACGATCGGCTCGAGTGGGGCGCAACACATTTTCTCGAGCACCGCACGCGCTCCGAAGTTTGAATCGATTAACTCGGGGGGGTTCACCCCCTCTGGCCTCCCCACCCCTTGAAACGCTGCGATACACATATTTCGAATACTTTTTATGGACATTTTTTCTCGCGCTTATGCCACGTGACTTTCTGGAACTTTTTCAACTCTGTGCATCGGTAAAGGATGTCGCGTCTTTTTTCTTTTCCTTTTTTTTTCATGAGCAAGAATATGTTTGACATTTGTTTTTTGCATCATAAAAATCTACAAATGTTTATTGTAAGAGAAAAAATTTGTTTTACTTTTGCAGTGCCCTTCTAGCTGGAGTGAGATTGCCGTTGCTGGTACTGCTGCCGGACCCTAGATTCGAAAACACCGAGCTCGTGACTTTACTCGGAGCTTTGGAAGCTTTGTACGTGGTGAGTATACAGCAATTGTTCAAAAAATGAATTTTGTGTCACGATCCTAACATTGTCAATTTTACTCGTCAAGTGCAACTAAAAGTATTGAAATGTATAATTTCAAATACTTTGAAATAAAACGCACTGCTTTTTTTGGCAAAAAAAATTCCACCATGCCAGAAAAAAATTTTTTTAAGTATTTCAAACTCCAAAAAATCATTGTTTCCAAGTCTGGAGACAACAATCTACCCAGGACACGCGTTCCCTGTACTGTTTGATGTAGTTTATGCAATATTCTCACGTTGACCCAGATGATGTATGCTTATGTCGTTAGTAATGTTATTTCTACAAGTTACCAGATTTTTCTACCCGTATAAAATAACCCTACCCTGCTCAATATAATTTCAACAATTTATTTCGCCCTCCCCATTTCAAACGTACCAACCCTAAACCGACCGTGCCAATGTCATCAGGTCCAGTTCTAATCAAACGATCGCGAAACTCAACAGCTGCTCCTTCCCCCACGTGGACAAAGTTTCGCGGGCGTCGTCGTTGTCTTTGTAGGTACACAGTGGCTATCCAAATCGATCTTTGGACCGCGACCACCCCCACTCCTCATTCTGTCACATGCACGCTTTACACTTATGTACATGTATACACTGTTGTGCTCAAACTTATGGCAGAGTATACACGGGTCGACTTGGTCCAAGACGTGTCGGAGGTTCTTCGAGCTTAATTAAAACGAGGATAAACCGAGGGGCTGGGCACTCTGGTGTCTTTTGGTGACTTACGAGATCTTTAAAAGACTTAGAATGACTTACGAATTTTTTTTTATGACTTCAAGGGTGCGCAGCCCCTTGGGATAAACATCGAGGTAGAAGAGTTTCGTTTTTTTCTGTAATATATTATTACGAAAAGTTATTTTAAAATCCGATGATAGTGTACCTAATATTTTGATAACAGTAACAAAATGTATTGGCTCTGCAGATAAATCGCGAGTAACGGGAAATTCATCGGCTACGGAGTTTAGGGCGATAACTCGACAATCCAGAAACAAGTATCATTTTAATTCTAAGAGTCTTATAACTCTGTGTTAACACGGAAGCTACGGATATGGATGCAATTGCGGTTGCGGTTACCGGTATAGGAACACTGACAGAACTACCAGTCTATTGATTAAATTTCTTACTCTAAGCTCCGGCAATTTACTGCTGCTAATTTACAACTGCCCGAGATTACGGAAATATTGCTCCATCGGAGCTTGAAATTGCGCCAAGAGATTTATTTGCATGCATGATAAAATTAGTTTTTAAGCAATCAATTGTTTTTTGTTCAATTTTTTTTTTCTTTTTTAAGAACAGATGTTTTGTTTTTTAAACAAAAAATAATTAGATGTCCACATAATCATTTTTGTAAAGATTTATTCAATGGAACCATTAGAAAACGTACTGAACAAAATCCATCTGCTTCTACTGAAATTCAAGAAAATGATAAAATATTGAGTATTTAATGTAATAATAATTCTGTAAAGTAACTTGAGAAAATAAGTACACGCAGGAAAATCATCGAGGCAGTAACGAATCTTCGCTAAAAAAAAAACAAAAAAAAAAAAAAACCTAATTTCAATTACTTCCTACCATCGACTCACATATATTTCTATGCCCAAACCCAAACAGGACGATAAAACAGCATTCGATGAAATAAACCAGCCCCCAGCGAAATTGTCCCGCGGTCCCAGCAAACCACTCCTCGTCTATCCATGTATACTCCACATCTACCAAAGAAACCGAGAAATCTCGACAAGCCTCGAGGCTGCCCCATCCACCGAGTGTTCCAATATTAGTCCGAACGAAACAACCCCCCCCCCCCCGCTCCCCTTGCTCTTGCCCAGCTAATATTGCAACGAAACGCCAGGGATCTTGTCTGCGATTTCACAGTCTCCTTCGCCTCTTCCACTCTAGCCCCTGGAGGTACGCGAGATCAGCAACGACCGCACCCACAAGGCCAACTGTCTTGGCATCTGGAGCCCGATCTGCAGTAAGAAGCTCCAGGGCGTGGTGAAGCTCGCAGCTGCCCTCGAGAGCGGCAGATACGTTGCCCGCGACATCGGTGAGTTGCACCTTGCATATACATATACGTATACGACATGGTTGGTTTCTTGCGCTGATCTGCCGAGAAGTTTGGGGTCTTGATGGTTTTACGAATTTTGGGAGTTTGGTGGTACGGCCATTCCGGGGAAGGGGGTCGTCAAAGTGGCGAGTTGTGTTTGAAGCCGAGGATGCACCCCCTTTCGACGTACAGCGTCAGGAATGAATTCGTCCTTGCGCTTCTGCAGAGTATCGAACAGCGACATACGTATACCTGGGAGAAGGATAAAATGGAGATGAATTTTTTTATGTATCGGGTCTGTTGATCATCACCTCGTAGGCTGTGGCAAAAACGTGCATTTTCTTTAAAAATGTTTGTTTTTGTTTTTTTCAATGGATGAAAGAATGTTTTCCTTAGTAAAAAAAAAAAAAAGAAAAAGAAAAAAAAAAAGTCGAGGGAGGAAAGTCACAATTTACGAGAGACAGACAGACACGAAGACGAATAAGAGTAGAGGAAAGAATGCCGGAAGACGGGCAAACAAACGAGGCTCATATCCCACCGGTGAAAAGTCATTCCGTCCTAATTGAGCCTCGAGTCCGTCACGCGCGCGCGTCTGGACCCTCGTCTCGACTCGTGCACACTTCCATTCCCCCCTTTACGCTCATCCACTTTTCGGATATACCCAGCGACGAGTCATCGTGCCCGTTTCTCCCTCGACTGGGCGAGAAAAAGTTTCCGGATCAGCGCAAAGTTGGCCGAGCCGATAGAAAAAGGGTTGTCTGGAGACGATGGATTAATGGAACCCCGGTGTTTGGCGTGTTACTTATTCTTCGTCTCCTCCGTGTTTTTTCTCTCCCTCCCTCCCTTCTTTCTTACAGATTTCGGGGCGTCTGTCCTTGTCATGCGTTGTTTTTCCCAGCACCGATGCTTCGTCTCCTTTTTTTTCGGGATTTACACTTTTATGCGGTACATCGATAAATGCGCCCTCCTTTCTTTTTTTCTTTTTTTATTGCACTCGTGGACAAGGAAAAAAAGCTCGAGGAAAGGAAAAATTTAAAAAGCACCGGAGAGCTATCATTCGCGGGAAAATTGCCGTGGTCGGTCCGCCACGAAAAATTGTTCCCGCCGAGCTGTCCCAGGGGTGCGATCCGAGAACGAATTGGTGACGGGTGGAGGAAGATCGAGGCTGGCCAGAGTGTGTACAGTGGTAATAGGTCGAGTGGCTCAAGACTGCGTTTGGGGAAATAAGTGGTGGGGAGTTGAAGCGCGGGTCGAGAGCAGCCGTGATTTATGAATGGAAACGTTTGCCGCTGAATTTTCGGCTCGATTTGGTACATCGTCAACTCGATTCGCTCGGAATCCTCCTGCCTCGAGGAATAAAAATCAAGCCTCAAGACCGAAAGAATAAGGACTATGAAACTTAAATGCTTGCGATGGGGGGGGGGGGGGTTGTGCAGGGAAGTGGAATCCAAACCTCACATCAAGAGCCATCGTGTGTGCCGTGCTCCACTTTGTGTCGTTCGCAGCAGTATATATATGCTCGAGGACCCGGAATCAGTCGCGTAATTCCGACTATCCCGTTCTCGGCGACGATATGCGCCCTTAGCCCGCGCATGTGCGAATATATGTATGTACGCGCGTATCGGATCGTTGCAGCAGGAGGGGGAGGGGGACTGGTACAGCGGAAGTTCTGCTGATTGAATTTCGATCGAAAATCGAAAATTGAATTTCACCCGACGTTGCGTTGCGTGTGTATTTGTTTGCGTGTACGTGCGAGTGTGCGGCTGAGGTGTGGTGTATAGTCGTTTTATGGGGATTGGGAATTTGTTGATTATTTGTTTGGCTATTCGCGATGGACTCTATTGTTTTTCTTCTCCGGCTGAGTCTACCAGGAACTTCATATTTAAAATGGTACGGGGATTTTTTATTGGTTTCCTCTTTTTTTTACCCCCTATCTCATTCAGACTGAAAATTGCCGATAAATTTTTGTACGTATCACAGTTTCATGGATACGACGAAGGATTGACGGCTACAAATAAGTATGATTTGTTTGTACTTTTCTGGATTATGTTTTTTGAATATTTTAGAAAATAACAATATTTTACGTGTAAGTTTCTGTAAATCACATGGTAAAAGGACGGGCTTGCAATGTATGTATATTCGTACGAAGTTCTAGACTCCATTATATCTTCACAAAAGGTTTTGAAGGGCTTTTCTTCCATAAGCACAATGACACTAATCAGCAAAATGAAAATATACCAAGAAGATTATTGTATTTCACCTTTTCTGCCCGTGCGTCGTAATTGAAGTTTCCAGGGTAACATTTATTGTCGGTTCACAGAAAACAAAAGCAATTGTGTTTTTACATGTTAGTTCACAGAGTCCACAAGAATCGTAATATTAAAGTTAAAATGTTTTTCAATCGAGTTGGGCATAACATGAAAATAACACACCGGTAACATTGTTGCAACCAAAGGTGGCTCGGACCCCGAGCGAATGGCACCCCCAAGAGTCGAGGAGTACATCCACAAGCTCTTCGAGGGCACGTGCATCGACGTCCAGGTCATATCGGACCCTTGTATCCTGGAAAAAGAGTACCCACTTTTCGCAGCGGTGAACCGCGCTGCTTCGGTCATTCCCCGTCACTCCGGGCGAATCATATTCCTGACTTACGAGCCACGCGACCCTACCTGCATCCTCGAGACCATCATGCTCGTCGGCAAGGGTGTCACCATGGACACTGGGGGCCTCAACATCAAGACCGGCTGCAACATGCTGGGCATGAGCCGCGACAAGTGTGGAGCCGCTGCGGCTGCCGGCTTCGTGCAGGTAGTATTTTTATTTCATGTTTTTTTTTTGCTTCAGCCAAATTAGCAGCATATCATAACTGCCCAATAATTAAATGTAAGAGTTGGGCAATCGACAGTTATTATTACCAACGATGTCGTAGACGGTGAATCTCCTGCAACCACCGACGGTCAAAGTGGTCGCGGCTCTCGGAGTGGTGCGAAACAGCGTGGGTGAGAACGCCTACGTCGTGGACGAGGTGATCACAGCGAGGTCGGGGGCTCGGGTTCGAGTTTGCAACACCGACTCCGAGGGCCGTTTTGTCATGGCGGATATTCTCTACCACGTGAAGGAGATGGCCATGTTTTCGGTGAATCCCCACATTTTGACGATCGCCACCCTCACGGGGCACGCATTTTTCTCCGCTGGTTGTGGATACTCGGTAAGTTGGGCTTTACGGATGTGTTTTATTGTAACGTAAAAAATGACGATCCAAGAGTACAGTAGAATCGGTGGAAAACTGCACGAAAAGTCGAGGATTATTCATGTTTTTTCAATGACTTTGTTAATTTTCGAAGCGTAAATAAATTAGGTTTTTCTCCTTACAATAGACGTTTCGGTAATTTTTTATATAGTTTACTTTTAAAAACTAGACAAGAACCATGACAAAAACTGCCCATCTGCTAAATTGATTAAATTAATTTTCCGACGAGGTAAAACACGCCACTCTAGGTATCTTTGTAACGCAAGCACGCCCAAAGTAAAACAATCACGTCCCTCTTTATTAACATTATTTCACTTTTTTTTTTAATTTTATTAACCCGCACCTATATACCCTACGCCACACCTTTTCTCCCAGTTACCTTTGAAACTCAACCCCCTCTGATGGAACAGACTTCGAACTTTGTCAAACTCAAACAGTTAAATTGGGATTGGTTAACCCGCGCTGGTGAAGGCCTTTAATTTATCGCCACCTTCGATCCCCAACCCCTTCCTACCTCCTGTTGAGGAGGCACTGAAGAAAGAAAAAAAAAGTCAAGTGTAGGTGTCAAAGTGCGCGGTCCACGTTACAGCCAAGGGAAAGCGATGATTAGCAAGAAAAGTTTCAAAGACGCTCTCCCTGAAAGTGAAAGATTCGCGAGCTCCCGTTTCTCCATTTACACGAGCTACTTTCAATAAAGCCGGTCGATTTTTCACTTTTCTCTTTGGCCACTATTAATCATCGTCACCTCCTAACGGCCCTCGCGTCTTTCTTTGCCCGCGTTTCCGCAGAGACACGCGTATAATTCATTTGATTCACTGGCCGGAAGCGCATTTTTCGCTACGTCGTCTACGAGAGAACTCGGGCTTTTTTCTTCGGCGAGCGACTACGCTTCCTTTCTGCATTTTTATCAAAATACGGCAGGAAACGAGTCCTTTCATTTTTGGCTTTTTTTTTTTTTGTTGTTCGTCGTCTTTTTCTTCTCCCAACGACGACTTGACTCGAGTAGCTCATTCTTTTGCCTTTCATTTCCTCCCCATTGAGCGTCGTCGCTGCGTCGGGAGTGCGTTTAAAATATTTACTCAAAATGTCTGCTCTTCCACGAAGAAAAAGCGGCTAAAAAATTCACGAAATAATTCGCAGTTTTTCATGTTATGCGAATTAATTTTCACAAAAGATACGAGAGCTCTCATCAAGCCGATTTTCCGTTTGAATTCCCAGAAAAGGTAAAACGTGCGGATGAAGGATGAAAACTGTGAAATGTACAAAACTTTGACGAGGTAAAAAAAAAAAAGAAAGTTACAAAACAACATAGCTGAAGAAAATGTTTTAATTTCTTCCTCATGATTGTTTTTGATTGCTGGAAATGCAAATCTTTCACCTCAAAGTCCCAAGAAATTCTCTACCGCGTAATTACGAAGGTTCCAGAACTATTTAAACTCGATTTCATGACTATTGGTTTTTTTTTTTTTTTTTTTTTTTTTCTTTAAATAATTGTATAAACCAAAAAGCCGAAATAAAAAGTTGCTCCAATTGTCACTTTGTCAATCGAGTGTTTCTCTTAATACAAAACGACTTTAGTCATGAAAAATTCCAAGCCCCCACCAACCACTTTTATACAGTCGCAACTAACCCTCCAACTCGCGACGCTTCCTTTTCTCACTCATCGCGTGTTTTCTTTTCATCATTTCTTCCTCCGTACTCCGAAGCCATCTCGTGTCCTTACACGTCCGCGGAAGAGGTAGCTTTTCCCACACGGCAAGAGCACCAAAGTAGCTAAGCTTGTTGCTGCACAAGGCAAGTCACTCCTTTGATCATAATGAAGGAGCCGCGCCACCCCTGCACGTACGTGCCGAGGAAGAAAAAAAAAAAAATCCAAAGTCATAATAAAAAAGCTCTCCACTTGCGTCTTACGTTCCTGCCTCTCCTTGCGCCTTTCTCCTGCTTAATAATAATAATGCCACGACTCGGCCCCGGTGATATTAAAAATTCTTGGTTTGTCATTTTCCTTTTGTGCTTTTTACCACTCGGTCATCGGGGCTGTTTGAGGATGTTTTTATTGTACTTGCCAAGTTCTCGAAAACCTCGCCATTGTCGCCAAAGAAAGCACATCTGCTTCTCTGACGTTAATTCTCAAGTTTATGATGCCCGACTTGTATGAAAAAAAAAAAAAAAAAAACCCAAGCCACCTTGAACCGACTTGAACGTGTCAAATTTTTTTCATCAATACCGCCGTTACGTAACTCAATTTCATAGAAATACTCTACTAAAAAGTAATAAACCACAGGAAATTATAAATCAGCCTTAAACACTCGACAAACGTCCCGTGCACCCTCACGCGTATACTTGCACCGATAAATAAATCAAGTCCTAACGCGCGCAGATAGCCATCGACAACTCAGTCGCCAAGACAATATCGAACGCCTACAAGTTGCAAGCCTGCGGCGAAGTGATGGGGGATCCTTTCGAGGTCTCGGTCCTGAGGAAGGACGACTTCGAGCACCACAAGGGCAAGTGCGAGGCCGACGATGTCGTGCAGGGTGGCAGCAAGCCCAGCGCCCAGTCCGAGCGTGGACACCAGGGCCCAGCGGCGTTTCTTCTAATGGCTTCCGGCTTGAACAAGGTGAGTTTAAATATATGGGCTTTTAAAAGAAAAAATAATATATCATCTCCTATACATCCTCTTTCCCTCGAGTCTCTTCGATGCCCCAATAACCCAATTTATTAATGAAACAGAAACAAATACACTCCGGATTAAATGCACTGAATTAAATTGAATATTACGAACGTTAAATAATACACTGAATAGACTAAGAATAAAATACAATACAAAGATGTGAGCCAACGTGTGTGTGTGTGTGTGTGTGTGTGTGTGTGTGTGTGTGTGTGTGTGTGTGTGAATGCAACTCAGAGCTGCTCGTTGACGGCGCGTCGCTAACTTGGTGGTCGGCGCCGGGTCGTTCGCGCTGATGCGAGAGCGACGGTGTCGTGGGTGGCTGGGCCACTGATCGCGTGCGGCACGGATCACTTTGGTGTGTCCACGAGGACGCTGGTGCGTCGCGGTCGCTAACACGTGAATATACCGCGGCGTATCGATCAGAAGGCGGGATTGAGAAAGAGCACACAAAAAAGGCACGGCGTTCGTTAAACGTAATCTACGTGAGAAAAACACGAGGTCACAGAAAAACTATAAGCACGAGTTACTACGGTGAGTCCCAAGAGAGCCGACGTAAGTATCTCAAGAGAGCCAGACGTAGAGTGACCTCATTACCTAAAACAAAAGGTTATTAGTTCTGATGCGTTGGCGCTGGTCAAGACTCTCCCCCCTCTCTCCATTCAGGCAGGGAGAGACTCGACTAATTGGTGTGAAAACTGTCTCTTTCTCTTTCCCTCCTCCTTTCTTGCTGTACATATATAAGTGCGGATGTGTGTGCACGATTGCACGGAAGCAAAGTCTTCCTTCCTTGAATTATGAACCGACGCGGCTATTATAGAGGTATATTCCATAACGAACCGACGGAACAATGTATACGTCGAGTAATGCTCTGTTAGCAAACCATGGCGATACCAGTGACGCAACTCGTTTCGCGAATCTTTGTTCGCTCGTAATAGGATCGACGGAGCACCGAATGATAACTGCACCTCCGTATACGCACGTAAGCTCACGTAAGACGCGTGGATTCTATGACATTTGCATCCAACACTTCGATGTAAGCCAATTAGGACGCAGAGATTCGTGTAAAAGTCCTCGTGAGGGTTGTTTTCCACGTGAACTAAAATTTTCCGGGACGACAAAAATGGTAACGTGGACTTTTGCGATGGGGTTGATTGGCAATGTAACTTCGACATCAAACGATTAATCCAAAACAACCGGAGAACCATCGCTCTTCCCGTGCGAATCTCCTCGAGCCGCAAAGTCCAAACAAAGGATCATCCATACGAATTGCCGGTCGAAAACACGCGCGTCCACTGATGCGTCTCAGGTGTCATTGTACGTACCGCGATCCCTGCAGCTGGTACTCCCTGCAACGTGCAATTAGTTTGCGATTTCCGTGACGAAGATCACCAGTATGGTGATGATATGTGTGTGTTGTTTGCACACGTGGCTCGGGCATGGTGCACGTGACACGCGAAATTCGATGACGCGACGTAGGTTTCACGACGAACGGCAGCGGCGAGACTCGTATTGTTCGTTGAACTATGGCGCTCTAGGGGGGCTAATCGTCACGCGGAAAATAGGCTTTTGATTGGGGGCTATATGTGAATGCGTACATGTACGTTTGGGTGAGCGACGAGTGCGATGTGCCGTGTACACTGATGGGCCCTGTCATCGTCAGTTGCCCGTCTTACTGTGGTGTAATGCACCGTTTTTGGTACTCATGGATCGTATACGTAATGTACAAATTAAACGGTTAGATGCACGGATAAATCGTACGTGATTTTTTGATTTCATATTTTCTCCTACGGTTTTGTTCGTTTGTTGTAAAAAAAATTTTAATTTCGATTACCCAGACGTTACTTCTTCAAAATCAGCGAGTTATTTATACTACAATTGGACTCCTTGAAGCAGTTAGTAAGAAGTTCATACTAACTTTGTTTAAAGAGTCTTAAACCCTATATATATTTTATTTTTCAACAAATACCCATTGTAGTTTCCAAAATATATCATCATTTGACGGCACACTTTTCCAAACACTCTTGTCGAAACACAGCCTTCTCGAGTCCTCGCGAGCACTAAATCCGATCGATGGTTTTTTTTATCTCTTTTCTATAAGCTACTTGTGGAAAAAAATCTCTTCTTCAATATATTTATACGTATACAAGTGATATGAATCGTCGTATCGCTGTTGCCTCTTGTATCTCTCTTTTCCGCCTCTCGAGCTTGCTTGCGGGGATCAGAGTTTCAATCTTCCTTTCTGGTTCGCCGCTGCTCTACGGATTCTTCGTTGTATACAAGGTACCGAGTCTCTTTTTCTTTTGCTTCCTCCTCCTCGGGTTGGCGATAAAGTTATGTTTGCGTGTATAAATACGAGGGGATTATTCTCAAGTGCCAAGTGACTTTTCTCTCCCCCCTTTTTCCACGTCAATTGAGATCGAGCCTTTTGAAATACATACCTGTATACACTTTGTTTCATTTTTTCATTTTACAGTTGAACAAACGATGCATCTCAGGGTTATTAAAGTTCCACAAGTAGTATCAAAGTATTTAACTTTTTTTTTTTTTTTTTTTTTCAATTGTTCGTTATTAAGGAGTAAAAATAATAAGGTAATTAGTATTTACACGTAAGTCTTTTAATTCAATTATAAAGCAACAAAACAAATATAATTTTACGTGAGCAAAAAAAATCCTGCACATGGTATACCCTACCATCGTCTTTCCTTGTATCCTCCGATTATTCCACGATTTGATCAGCACTCGTTGGTATTTGATAGTTAAAATAATAAAACTTTTCGCAGCACGGCAAGACATCGAGCAAACCACTGAAATTCACGCACTTAGACATCGCAGGTAGCTCGACCGAGCCACCGAAAACTGCCAACGCAGTGCCATTGTGCGCTCTAGCCAAGCACTTTTTCGGCAAAATATTCGAGGAAAACCTTGCGGAGAATCAAACACTCTAGATCTCTAGAAGTTACAATATTTTTATAAATGTCACCTCATAATTTATTGAATTATTTTTAAAAAATGTTGATTGTAACGATCGTGCCTCATATGCGACTGTGTTATTTTTTGTCTTCGTTTGATAGGTTAATTATTCATGTATAGCATGGCAAATGATGTGATGTAAGATAAATTTATTTTATTTCATATGTTAGTGAGTGAGAGCAGTCCAGTTATATTTTGATAATCACTTCTATCCATGAAAAAATAAAATAAAAATGTATTGCAACGTTTAATATCAAGCTCTACTTGAACCGATTTTTTGGCTATACCTTGGGACCCCCTCGATCCTTCATCAAATGACCTCATACCTCGAACCCCACTTTCCGTTCCAGCATGGGCTGTGCAGCCGGGCTCCGATCAAATACACCCACATAGACATGGCTGGCCACCTGACCCACCTCGAAATCCCGTACCACGGGAACCCCGTGCTCGCACTGGGCTATTGTTACCTGATCCAGGGCAAGTGCCTGGCAATTTACACGGTCCCGCCGACCTGCGAAATAGCACCCTGCGTAGCCGCCGAGATGGAGTGCAAGCCCATCACTTGTGTCAAAGGCTCCACCGCCTGCCAGTTGCAAGCCGTGAGATCTATGGTTGACGAGATGGCCCACGAAGACCAGAACTGCCAAAACGAGTGCACGAGGAGCAATAAGTCCTGCCGGGGCTGAGGGAGACACTGCGTGATTTTTTCTATGATTTTTTAACAAATTACAATGTTTTTTATCAAGACTGTATATTTTTCTATTATACGTTATATCTTATAAAATGCTTCTAAAAGGACTTTTTGGTGCTCCATAAGGAGGTTCAAGGATTTTCTCAAAATGCAGAGGAATCAGTTATACTTTTAACAATAACCATTCAAAGTGTGTAAATTTTTTAAGTATGTTTTTAATAAAGAATAACGAGCCTAAAGTCCTTGCTATCCATATGAGAGTTTCAAGTTTCATCGATGAAAACATTTTTGGTGAAACCTATTTAATAAATTCACACAGTTTTCTGATTTTTGAATAATTATTCTATAAAGTTTTACAGCTTACTCTACATTTTAAAAATATCATTGAACCTTTCAAGTGACTATTTCGGTAACATTATAATCGTAGAATTTTTGCATTTCACGGGTACAAATTTTTGCTTATACCACAAATCGAATCAATTATTTTTGTAAGTATCAACAATATTACACATACTCGTTTTATTTAATCAAAATACAGCCTATCGAATGTGCATTCCAATATTTGTACCTGTCAGATCAAAGATTGAAATTTTTTTTTTTTCAAAAATTAATTATTTATACATTATTTCACGGTTCAGAAAATTATGCATTGTTTTATTATTATTATTAAACATCGACGTACGACATCGTTCGAAGGTATAACAGATTTAACGCGTATATTAATAAATTATTGCTGATTCCAACAGATGGCACTTACTGTTGTTTTCTTTTGAAAAGAGTAAGATAGCGTCATGATGAGTCTTGTAAAAGAAAATAAATAATTCAGAAATTTTTACATAAATGACAGTAATAGTTTTGTTATGATATTAATACAAGTAACCCTCAATCGAGATAGCCTCAAAAAATGACCATCCACAGTGAATTCTATCGTACATTGTTCTTACGAAATTCGTTATCGTAAGATTGGCAGCACTGCTACGATTCTCTGTATCTGCACACCTATAGCTTCTTTGTATGGGAAAAAGAGGGGGAGGGGACACACTTATCTATACTCTCGCGCACGAAAAACACAGATAAATCACGAATAAATACCGATAGAAAAAGAGAGCAACTTTACAAAAGCAGATTTTCTTTCAAGTCCAGAACAGACGGCTAACGTAGATCTCGTGGGATCGACAGCTGCAGTTAGACGAAGAGGGAAAGAGTCGCACCGGGCGCGGTCGTAGCATAGTACCATAAGCATAATATTAAAAATCAAACATAATTTGTACTCTTTTTGAACAGTAATACATTTTTATAAGTACGTTTGTTGGTATTGAGAAACCATATACTGTTCCAGCTTAATTCAGGTAAGTTTAACAAAAATATTTATAAACTGTAATGCTGTGGAAATGGGTGTATATTTATTTCCCATAGAGGTTATTTTTCTCTTTGGTCTGGTTGTCTCCCACCAATATACTTTATTGTTTTTCATCTGCAACTCCCATGGGTGGTTACAGATAAGGGAAACCCATTGCCCTTTTTTATCTAAAAGTTAAATTATTTATAATTTTTATGTTTATTGTTTGTTTGAATTGAGCTTCGGATGTTTCATAAATTATCTTTGATTTATTTTGACATTTTTAAATATTTTTTAACATTATTTCAGCACCATGCATCTCAGGGTTATTAAAGTTCCACAAGTAGTATCAAAGTATTTAACTTTTTTTTTTTTTTTTTTTTTTTCAATTGTTCGTTATTAAGGAGTAAAAATAATAAGGTAATTAGTATTTACACGTAAGTCTTTTAATTCAATTATAAAGCAACAAAACAAATATAATTTTACGTGAGCAAAAAAAATCCTGCACATGGTATACCCTACCATCGTCTTTCCTTGTATCCTCCGATTATTCCACGATTTGATCAGCACTCGTTGGTATTTGATAGTTAAAATAATAAAACTTTTCGCAGCACGGCAAGACATCGAGCAAACCACTGAAATTCACGCACTTAGACATCGCAGGTAGCTCGACCGAGCCACCGAAAACTGCCAACGCAGTGCCATTGTGCGCTCTAGCCAAGCACTTTTTCGGCAAAATATTCGAGGAAAACCTTGCGGAGAATCAAACACTCTAGATCTCTAGAAGTTACAATATTTTTATAAATGTCACCTCATAATTTATTGAATTATTTTTAAAAAATGTTGATTGTAACGATCGTGCCTCATATGCGACTGTGTTATTTTTTGTCTTCGTTTGATAGGTTAATTATTCATGTATAGCATGGCAAATGATGTGATGTAAGATAAATTTATTTTATTTCATATGTTAGTGAGTGAGAGCAGTCCAGTTATATTTTGATAATCACTTCTATCCATGAAAAAATAAAATAAAAATGTATTGCAACGTTTAATATCAAGCTCTACTTGAACCGATTTTTTGGCTATACCTTGGGACCCCCTCGATCCTTCATCAAATGACCTCATACCTCGAACCCCACTTTCCGTTCCAGCATGGGCTGTGCAGCCGGGCTCCGATCAAATACACCCACATAGACATGGCTGGCCACCTGACCCACCTCGAAATCCCGTACCACGGGAACCCCGTGCTCGCACTGGGCTATTGTTACCTGATCCAGGGCAAGTGCCTGGCAATTTACACGGTCCCGCCGACCTGCGAAATAGCACCCTGCGTAGCCGCCGAGATGGAGTGCAAGCCCATCACTTGTGTCAAAGGCTCCACCGCCTGCCAGTTGCAAGCCGTGAGATCTATGGTTGACGAGATGGCCCACGAAGACCAGAACTGCCAAAACGAGTGCACGAGGAGCAATAAGTCCTGCCGGGGCTGAGGGAGACACTGCGTGATTTTTTCTATGATTTTTTAACAAATTACAATGTTTTTTATCAAGACTGTATATTTTTCTATTATACGTTATATCTTATAAAATGCTTCTAAAAGGACTTTTTGGTGCTCCATAAGGAGGTTCAAGGATTTTCTCAAAATGCAGAGGAATCAGTTATACTTTTAACAATAACCATTCAAAGTGTGTAAATTTTTTAAGTATGTTTTTAATAAAGAATAACGAGCCTAAAGTCCTTGCTATCCATATGAGAGTTTCAAGTTTCATCGATGAAAACATTTTTGGTGAAACCTATTTAATAAATTCACACAGTTTTCTGATTTTTGAATAATTATTCTATAAAGTTTTACAGCTTACTCTACATTTTAAAAATATCATTGAACCTTTCAAGTGACTATTTCGGTAACATTATAATCGTAGAATTTTTGCATTTCACGGGTACAAATTTTTGCTTATACCACAAATCGAATCAATTATTTTTGTAAGTATCAACAATATTACACATACTCGTTTTATTTAATCAAAATACAGCCTATCGAATGTGCATTCCAATATTTGTACCTGTCAGATCAAAGATTGAAATTTTTTTTTTTTCAAAAATTAATTATTTNAAAAAAAATTAAAAAAAAAAAAAAAAAAAATACATTGAGTCTAATGTAAGTATTTACCGATGTAAACAGAAGGCTCATAACCTTGCTCTTTAGTTATTGTAGAATGAGGGTAATTTCACCGACGATACTTGGAAATGGACTTTTCTCAAGTTTTCGTCAGGTCGTAGATTGGTAGCCCTGTAAAAATAACAGAGCGCGTGTGTTCGATCGCAGAAACAATGTTAACCAAAACACGAAAATCACCCGGTCAATTTTGTTTTTGTTTACTACAAAATGAAACACACGCTCTGCTAGTCAAGTATGGCTACCGACTTCTTATCGGACGAAAATAACGAAAATCTCATGTCTAAATACCCTTAGCCAATGACCCATGTAAGAAAGTGCACTAAAATTCAAAAGCTTTGAAAATAATTTGTTAAAATCAAAATTTTGAACTCAAATAAGAAGTTATCTTATTTAATTAATCATACGTGTAAATTTTACTTTATTATTACTGAATTTGTGATAGGTAAGAGCCTCTTAAACATGTCAATAGCAACAGACAACACTCGTTAATATTTATTTTGAAAATTTTGTTAAAAGTACGTGACAAAGTCAAAACTTTTTTTTGAATGGTCGTTAAGTAGATGAAAAAATGGGCCAAAATGTCATTACACATGATGCAAAGTGTTTTAAAATTTTATTTTTTGCCGCTTCTGGTACGTAGACATTGACTTTTCAATTTTTTTTTACTTTGTACAACGAAAGTCGAAGTTATCAATTTTTCCTTGTAGTTTGGAATAAAAAAAAAAAATGTTTTAATTAATTATTTTGGATACTTGAAATTCATCACTTTATATTTTGGAGTAAACTAAAATATTATCCAAATTTTTCTCAGGCCCACATTCTAATGTGGCCAGTATCGTTGTTAATACTGACCATTAGTTCCGATAAAATAAGCAATTATGCTTCTGCAGTAATATAACTAATGCCGATAGTTTTTCGAACTATCAATCAGATATCCCCAATGTACGAAGTTACGTGAGGAGCAGGTGTTTTAAACAAAATTTCGTTGCGAAATTTCTATATGAAGCTTCAGAATTGGCAAAAAAACTGCTATTAAGGTCATAATGAACCTGTCGTTAGCGTAATGCGTTTTGTACTTTTGTAAAAATTTTATTTAAATGCGTAAGTTTTCGAAAAATGAAAATAGAACTGAATCCAAAAGTTTCTAACTATTTTCGACGTGACAGATCAAACATGACACAACTTCATGACAGAGAAAAAAAAATTATAAACATTGAATTTCAAAAATCTCTTTTGAAACGATAAAAAATCATTACTGTAAATAGATCCGTCATACTGCAATGGTAATTTTTAGAAATTATGTATCCTCACATGGAAATTTTGCAATGAAATTGAGTTTGTAGTTTGACATACTTTCATCCGGTGCTTTGGTACACTGGTCACCTGATCGATAATTTAAAAAAATATCAAGATTGGGAACACTACAGTAAAGACCGTGTATTTTACTGGGACAAATGCTCTATATTAATAATGTGACTGGTCACATTCAAATTTCAAACTGTAAAAAATTGACTATTCCTATTTACTGCAGAATACAAAATTATTAATTTCAATTTTCCTAGTAGATTACCTGGCAAAATTGAAAATAGAAAAAAAAGATGCTTGAAACCTCAGACTTTTAGATAGTACAGAGTAAAAAAATTTTAAAGTCAATGCTTAGGTGGTATTAGTTTTAAAAATTAAATTTTTAAATATTTTCCATTATGGTTGTGACATTTTGGCCCGTTATTGTATCTTATGATCACGCCAAAAAAGATTGTGTTTTTATCTCGAAAACGTTGTTAGGAAAAATAAGCTCACACTTATTAAAAAATATTCTGACTCAAAATAATTTGATGCTTTTTTTTTAACCGTAAGCTTTATGATTAACTGCGGTTTTTGTGAAATATCCAAAGTATAATTAACATTCAGTTTTTTGTATTACAACATTGATACTTAGGTTGACAAAATTGTTAATAGTTAATTGGTTCAAACAATCAAATTAAAAAATTGTTAAATTCAATAATATTCAGAAGATTGCAGTGTAAACGAATGCTAATTAATGCAAGCAGAAAGTGATTCGCGAAGTTGTTTCACCTTATCTGTAGGCAATGAATAACAATTTCAAGGCTCAGCCTTTCCATGTTAACCACAATCGTTTTAAAACACTGAAAATTTGCTGACAGTAAAATTACATTTCTTTTTATTTTATTTATCCTGTTTTAACTGGAGCTTGTGCATATTTAATTATCATTAAAACTGGAAATTGTGAAAACATGATTAATAGTGATACTAATTATCTTTCTTTTAAAAATACTCTTCCTCAGATAAAATATCGCTGGCACGTTACACCTTGATTGTATAAAAAATTATTTTATCTATTTAAAAAAAATTATTTAAAATTTAGAAGCATTTTATACGTT